TATCTTGCATTTCACAGTTTTTAGGAAACAAAACTCCAAGCTCTAATGTTCCCTTTATATATCTTAACACCCTCTTTGCAGCTAACAAATGCAATTTCTTTGGCTGATGCATGAATATGGTAAGGATCCCAACTGCAAAACAAATATCAGGTATGCTATTACATAGATATCGAAGTGAACCCACCATTTGTTTATACAGTGGTTGTCCACTTCGTCTTCATCATTTTCTAAAGCAGTAACCTTTCTCTCTGCCGGAGTTGTTGTTGCATTACAAGTCTCCATACTAATTTTCTTCAAGACCTCTATTGAATATTTTCTTTGATGGAGAATCTGCTGGATTTAACAAATTCAAGCCTAAGAAAATACCTTAACTTACCCAAATCAGTCATTTCAAATTCAGCCATCAACAGTCCTTTAAATTTCTCAATTTCTGAAATATTACTCCTTGTGATCAATACGTCATCCACATAAATGCACATTAGGAGTAAATTTGGGTCACCTTGGAACCTTACATACACACCATGCTCTACTAGACATTTTAGAAATTTATGCTTTATCATAAACGAATCTATCACCTTATTCCAAGCTCTTGGTGCTTGCTTTAGGCCATATAAAGTCTTCCTCAACCTATACACCTTGTTTTCACACCCTTTAACCTCAAACCCAGGAGGTTGAGTGACATACACCTCTTGTTCAAGTGGCCCATTCAAGTGGCCGTGTAGGTTGCACCTCATCATCAATTTGTCTATTCCCATTTGATTCATCACCTAGTCTCTCTTCCTCATCTTCAAAAACAATTGAAACATTCTGTTTTGAACCATTTACCTTATTTGACCAGTTCCATGTTTCAACCTCATTCATCACAACATCCATACTTATACAAATCTCCTTGGTTATATGATTGTATAGTCTGTAGGGTCCAGTAAAGTGATATCCTAATAATATCATGGCCTCACTTTTATCTTGCAGCTTACTCCTCTTCACACTTGGTACATGTTTGTAGCAAACTGAACCAAAAATCTTCAAATGATTCACCACTGGTTTCCTTTCAGACCATACCTCCTCTGGAACTTTATCTTTCAGCTTTTTGGTTGGACACTTATTTAGCACATACATTGTTGTAGACACTGCTTCTCCCTAGAATGAATGTTGTAAATCCTTCTGTTTTAGCATACTCCTTACCATGCTCAGTATGGTCCTATTTCTTCTTTCAACAAGACCATTATGTTGTGGAGTGTATGGTGCTATTATTTCATGCTGAATTCCATTCTCAATGAAATAATTCTTGAAATATCTTGAAACATATTCTCCTCCTCCATCTGTTCTGAGTATTTTAAGTGCCTTTCCACTTTGCTTTTCAGCCAACAACTTGAACTTTTTGAAGACAAAAAACACATCACTTTTAACTTTTATCAAATACAGCCATATCATGCGACTATACTCATCTACAAAAGTCACAAAGTATCTAGTGTTCCCCAAAGACAACTCCTCAAACGGTCCACACATGTCAGAATACACAACATGTAGTACTTTAGCTCTCATGTGCATTTGTGAATTGAAAGCATTTCTGGGTTTTTTGCCTAATAAACACTGTGTTGAGATTATTGATGGGGGAGCACAACGAAGCATCTTCAATACGTATGATTTTAGTTTTATAGATTAATTCAGTTCATTTCCATTTCTAGAGGTTAGGTTTTGTAGTTTTTCCAGATTTAGAGAATTTTGCTATATTTTGATTATTTCTTGCAATTCTTTGTTACAGAATGAAATTAGTAGTATTTTAAACTTATTTGCATGATCATTCCACCATACAATCCATTGCATCACAGTTTCATACATTATCTGCATAATAGCAAAAAGCTATAAAACTTGATTCACTGTCATAGACTATTTTGCTGTCCAGATTTTGGTTTTATACGTAATTTTGCTTTTTTAGAGTATTTCTTCTAAATACTTTCATTTGCATTGCTAAAATCATTCAAACGTGTTCCAAGCATTAGCATTGCATAATCCACATTTTATCGAACAGTTTCATTTCCATTGTTTTAGTATTTTACTGCATCTTTTATTCAGATATTAGGTTTCAATTGAAGATCCATTCATTGTCTGTAGTTTTTTTATTTATTTTATTTTCCACCAAATTATTCGTTTTAGACTAGGTTAGGATAATACAAATACTTATTCAAATAGGATTTCTTTAGATTGACACTCATGACCTTATGCTATATTAGGAAGATTTTGGATTATTGTATGAACTTTATTGCGACTATACAGTTCATCAAGGTTCCTCCTACAAAAATAATTTGGATCAGTTTGGACATAATTTACTCTATTTATAATCAAATTATGCCACAAAAGTAGATTTTAACTTTCAAAAGTTTGTTTCAATTTAAGTCCATATTTTCTTCTTCTATAAATAGTTACAAGAAGATTTATCTAAATTGGTCATTATTTTGAAAGCAAGTAAAGGCTTTAAGAGAGCCAGAGCCAATAGGAATATATACCTTTGTCATCTAATTTTAGAACAGCATTATCCCTAAAGCGTGGCCAATGCAAAATTGTAATCTTCAAATAACCTGGTGACATTGTAATGAATAAGAACAACAATGGTTCTGCCTTATCTTGCAAGACGAATCAATCACAACTAGAATACATTGTCCTGCATCAAAAAAGATTTTTCTTTGTTGTTACAATCATATAGGAAGCTAACTAGTACCATTTCCAATTTGTAACAATGGAGTGTGATGATGTTGGAAAATCCATCTCCCTCTACAACATTTATTCCCTCCTTCTATCCAAGTTCTTGTTCCTCCTATGTACCAAACAACTAAGAAATAAGAGAATTATCCATCATCATATATAGAAACCTTTGAATTTGCAGTTCTCTCCAACTATAATCAGCCTGAAGTAGCTTCACCAATAATCGCAACAAGAGCATGTACCATCCTTAAAATGGTGGAATCGATTGGTGTCCCTGACTACAATTTCACGTTGAACTATCTTAGAGATAAGCTTGACAGCAATATGACAATCTCCACAAACACGGAGGTTTTTGGTAATTCTGATTGGAGATTCACGGGTATTCAAAATAGCAAACACAATTGCTAACTTCTCGCTGTGAACAGCTAGATGGCATTCTTTATCCTCCTCCTCCACGTCATGAAGAGCAGAATCAATCTCAGGGACGTATCCTAACTCTTTCATCTTCCCAACCAGCACACTCAGCTCATCATATATCTCCTTTGACTGTGGGTGTGACGTGTCACCCGCAAGAAAGGTGTGGACCTGATTATTGAGCTCAACATTGCTGATCCCAGGTCTTTTTCGAATTTTTCTTCTCTTCATTAGTGATCGAGTAGCTGTTACTTCTGTCCATCTACCAGCCTTTGCATAAATATTTGATAGCAACACATAGTAGCCAGATTCCTCAGGAGCCAACTGAAGAAGTTTGTCAGCAGCTACAAGCCCAATATCCATGTTGGAGTACACCCGACAGGAGCTAAGCAGTGTTCCCCAAATTCTTTCATTAGGCTCCATTGGCATCTGTTTGATGAAATTATAGGCCTCATCTAATCGTCCAGATCGTCCTAAAAGATCCACCAAACAAGAAAAGTGTTCAATTCTTGGTGTTATTCCATAATCGTCTGTCATCTGCTTAAAGTAAAGCTTCCCTTCATTGTATAATCCTGAATGGCTACAGGCTGAGATAATTGCGACAAAGGCAATGGAATCTGGACTTTGACCTGAATTTAGCATTTCAGTGAAGAGTGCCACAGCATTATAGCCTTTTCCAGTCATACCATAGGCAGATATCAATGAAGTCCAAGATGCAACGTCACGAAACTTCATTCTGTCAAACACTCTTCTTGCATCTTCTAGACATCCACATCTAGCATACATGTCTATCAATGAATTCTCCAGAAGCAAATTTGGACATAGATTCTTCCTCTCAACATATTCATGAATCCTCCTTCCTAACAACAAAGCTGAAAGATCGCCACATGCTGGAAGTACACTAGCACAAGTGATTGCATCTGGTTCCACTTCACATTTCTCCATTTGTAAATATAGATCAACAGCTTTTTCAGGCATTGAGTTTTTCATATACGTAGTTATCATCACATTCCATGAGACCAAATTTTTCTTCTCCAAATTCACAAACATCTGCTTAACATATGAAATAATTTCTGATGAAGTGTCAGTTACTGCTGGCAGGAGACTAGCCATTGTACCGGCATCCGGTTTATGCCTTAGAGACTCCATTTCTCGGCAAATCTGTAGCGCATCATCAAACCGCTTATTCTGAACATATCCAGCAACCATTGAGTTCCATGAAACAACATCTCTGCTAGGCATTTCACCAAGAACACGCCGTGCCTCTAGCAAGCAACCACACTTACCGTACAACGCAATAAGACCATTTCCAACAAATAAATTCAAGTCAAACCCAACCTTAAATACAACTCCGTGAAGTTGAAACCCGATTCTCGGATTGTCAGAGCAAGAGCAAGCCTTCAAAACACAAGGGTAAGTATAGTTATCAGGACTAAATCCACCATCAACCATGTCCCTGAAAACAAGCAATGCATCATTGTACCGATGGTTATTCACATAACTTCTGATCATGACATTATAGAAAATAACATTCCTCTCAGGAATTCCATCAAACACCTTGCGTGCCAATCCAGGTTCTCCGCAGGCAGCATAGGCTCGCATGAGTTTGATTCCCAGAGATGGGTTTTCATGAAAACTGAGATTAAAAGCCTTCGAATGCACATTTTTCAACGTTTTAATATCTGGGTATTGGTCTAACGCTTTGCCCAGAAGTTCCAAAACAAGAACTGGGTTTCGTGAGGACCCCGATGATTTTCTAATTGAGGAAACCAAGGCCTGTAACTTGGGAAATTGGTGAGTCAACGGAGCAATTGGTTTCATGAATTGAAACTGTTACTATTGTTATGTTAAAAATGAGAGGAACAGAGGGAAGAAGAGCAAAGGATTTACAAGTTCAAGAGAGTCACTTTCTTTTCTGAAATGGACATAACGCATGTTCAGGTATTCCTCACAGTTAGTAAAGATTGACCATAGAATGTGTTACATGGTTAAAAACAAGAACTTTTCTCTCTTATTAGAAGATGGAGAATGATGGTGTGCATTTTAAGAAGGAAAATGCTGTGTTGACAGTATGGAAGATGAGGCAAATATTGCTCAGGTGACAAAGGTTAGAAAGGTAATATGGATTCACATTTAAATATTTCTAAATGTTCTAGGGTTGGGAGGCAGAAGAATAGATTGGTTAGGAGAAGGAGATGGAGGGAGAGAGAAGTGACGGTGTTGTTGAAGGCATGGTCCTGCCGTGTTCGGAGGAGTCCAATCCTTGGTAGTGGCGGTTTGGGAACGACCATTTGAGGGTGTCGAAACCTTGGCAGTGGCGTTGTGGAAACCTTCATTTGACCAGAAATATAGTTGGAGAGTGAATCATTGGTCACCGTCACCGTCACCGTAAGGGTGATCATCGGAGAGTATGTTTTCTTTTGGGGTTCAGTTACTTCCTATAAATCTCAAACCATTTGGAAAAGTCCATGATCTTTAATATTCTTTGCCTGTCATTATCTTCGCTCTTTGCTGAATATTTGGCTGGCCTTTTTGGTTTTTTTTTAAGTAATCTTTTCAAGAACACGTTGATTTGGCTTTCATAGTGATCGGGTTTAGATATCAATTATTAAACATTTTACTCTCTCTCTTTAACCTTATTACACTATTATCGCTATATACTAGAAATATTATTTTTCTTATATTTGCAGTGCAGTTAACAACTTGAATTGAACGGTGTGCTTTACTTTTCCTCCGTGTTCAATCAAGTCCTACCGCTTCATTTCTTTTTCAATCACAAGAGATCAAGAGTTTCAATCACTGTCAGTCTCATGAGAGGAAGAGAGGGAAGAAGAGCAATGGATCTATAATTGGTTTTCAATCAAAATCTTTCCTTATACATTAGGGAAATTTGAATTTTTCTTCAGTCTAATTGCCATTTGAAATGAAATTAAAGAAAAAATGTTTGTCTGATTCTGAGGTTTGAATTCTAAAAGTGTAACAGTTTTTTTGTGACTTATTTGTTGACAGTAAAAGGAGCAGGAGCATAGATTTATATTTATTGCAGCAAAGGGATGGTCTTCCTTTGAGGTTTGGTAATTTTGCAACCAAAGGAGAGATTTGGATGGACAAAAGCAAGAGTTTGAATTTGGCAAATCTAGTGCAACTCTGCGTCACCAACAAAGATCTTTTAGCCGGCAAGGTTCTTCACGCTCGACTTTTCCGTCTCCGTCTTTTCTCTGACACCTTTCTCTCCAACCACTTCATCGAACTTTATTCAAAGTGTGATGAAATTGCCTCCGCCCACAATGTGTTCGACAATATACCTCACAAAAATATCTTTTCCTGGAACGCCATTTTGGCTGCATATTGCAAAACCCGCAACTTGCAACGCGCGTGCCGTCTGTTCCTGCAAATGCCTCAGAGGAACACCGTCTCACTGAACACCTTAATCAGCACAATGGTCAGGTGTGGCTATGAACGCCAAGCAGTGGATACCTACGATTCGATGATGCTGGATGGAATTAAACCCTCCCACATAACGTTCGCTACTGTTTTTAGTGCTTGTGGTACTTTGTTGGATGCGGACTGTGGCAGGAGAAATCATGGGTTTGTGGTCAAGGTTGGTCTTGAAAGTAATATATATGTCGTTAATGCTCTTTTGTGCATGTATGCTAAGTGTAGGCTTAATGTGGATGCGCTTCGTGTTTTTAGGGACATTCCTGAGCCTAATGAGGTTACTTTCACCACCATGATAGGGGCATTAGCTCAGACAGATCAATTCAAGGAAGCTTTGGAGTTGTTTAGACTCATGTTGAGAAAAAGGGTTCCTGTTGATTCTGTCTCCTTGTCCAGCATATTGGGTGTCTGTGCGAAAGGGGAAAGGGACATCGGTCTCTGTCATGGTCTCTCATGTAATGCACAAGGAAAACAAATGCACACAATGTCAATTAAACTGGGATTTGATAGAGACCTCCATTTATGCAACTCTTTGCTTGATATGTATGCGAAAATTGGGGATATGGACAGTGCTGAGATGGTTTTTGTTAATTTGAATCAGCACAGTAATGTTTCTTGGAATATAATGATAGCTGGGTATGGGAATAGATGTAACAGTGAGAAAGCGGCAGAGTATCTTCATAGAATGCAGTGTGATGGATATGAACCAGATGATGTTACATATATTAATATGCTGACAGCGTGTGTCAAGTCTGGGGATGTAAGAATCGGGCGTCTAATATTTGACTGCATGCCATGCCCAAATTTGGCTTCATGGAATGCTATACTCTCAGTCTATAATCAAATTGCGGACCATAGAGAGGCAATTGAACTGTTTAGAAAAATGCAGTTTCAATGCCAACATCCTGATCGGACTACTTTGGCCATTATTCTCAGTTCATGTGCTGAACTTAGACTTCTTGAGGTTGGAAAAGAGGTTCATGCTGCAGCTCAAAAGTTTGGATTTTATGATGATGTCTACGTTGCCAGTAGCCTTATTAATATGTACTCCAAGTGTGGGAAAATGGAGTTGTGTGAGCATGTGTTCCGTAAACTGCCTGAACTAGATATTGTATGTTGGAACTCAATGTTAGCAGGGTTCTCAATCAATGCTCTTGAACAAGATGCCTTGTCTTTGTTCAAACAGATGCGATCACTTGGCTTCTTCCCATCTGAGTTTTCTTTTGCTACCATAGTGAGCTCTTGTGCAAATATTTCTTCCTTGTTTCAAGGTCAACTGTTTCATGCTCAGATCATAAAAGATGGTTTTCTAGATGACATATTTGTGGGGAGTTCTCTAATAGAAATGTATTGTAAATGTGGTGATGTGCATGGGGCCAGATGTATTTTTGATGTGATGCCTGGTAAAAATACCGTTACCTGGAATGAAATGATACACGGTTATGCACAAAATGGAGATGGTCGTAGTGCTCTGTGCCTTTATAATGAAATGGTTTCATATGGTGAGAAACCTGATGATATTACTTTTGTTGCTGTTTTAACTGCTTGTAGCCACTCGTCTTTGGTTGATGAAGGACTTGAAATATTCAATGTCATGCTGCCAAAATTTGGAGTGGTGCCAAAGTTGGATCATTACACTTGCATTATAGATTGTCTGAGTCGAGCAGGGAGATTTCATGAAGTAGAAGTCTTTTTAGATACCATGCCATGTAAAGATGATGCAGTTGTATGGGAGGTTGTGTTAAGTTCATGCCGTATTCATGCTAACTTAACCTTAGCAAAAAGAGCTGCTGAGGAACTCTATCGACTGGACCCCCAAAATGCTGCTTCATATGTGCTTCTTGCCAACACGTACTCTTCTTTGGGAAGATGGGATGATGCACGTGTTGTAAGGGATATGATGAGTGATAAAAAGGTCCCTAAGGATCCCGGTTATAGTAGGAGTGTGTGCAAGAGTGATACACAAATGATTCTTGAAAACAAACAATAATCTCATTATGATGGTTGTTGAAATCAAAGCACCTCTGCAGAGACCTCGATCATTTATACAAAAGGGACCTTGTGTTCTACTGGAAGATCGATGATACTTCCCATGACAACGCTTTTATGACTATCAGTTGCTTATTAAACTGGAGACTGATGTCGTCTGAGTGACATTCCCTCTGAAAATTTTCATGGAGAACATCGGCCACACGGTTTAGGAAGCTGGGACTTGAAATTAATAGTATTAGAGCTTGAGGAGTCTATTCTTGCAGGATTTGTTATCTTCTAGGCTATAGTATTATTGGTAATTTGCACCTTTCACGTCACTGGTGAAGGAAACTACGCTGGCGCCTGTTGTTGCGGTAGGTGGGTTGGATGGGTATTGATTTATAACAAGGAGAGAATTTGGTGTTTTCTTTCGTTGGCTTAAACATCAAACAGGTAGACATGTTAGGTTGTGCCCTCTTTAGTCTCCAATTATGTGGGTGCCCTCTTTCAATTTTTTTATCTAATTTTTAGAGGTGCATTTTACACACTATACTCGCATTAGCTAAAAGTTTTCTCTTTCAAACATATACAAATATCCTACCTTTTTTCATTAAAGAAAGAACCTTAACAGTCAAGAAACAAAAAGAAACTAATAGTAAAACCCAATGGTTGAATAATCAGCCAACAAGGGATACATAAAAAAGGGAGGAGGGAAGTAAGAATTTTGTTGTCCATAATTTTTCGGTTGTGTTGACCGTACTTGTGCTCATTTGGTTGGATCTGTCATACTGAGATGGAGTTGTTGCAAGCACTGTGGGGTGTAGCTGCGAAGACTTTAACGCCTAAATCAGTGATGGGCAAGGTAAAACTGTTTAATGATGAATTGAAACGGGCCCCGCGAAGGTGACAAATGAACATTGATGGGGTAGATAGGTGAAATGCGTGGATCGATTTTTGTCATCTTGTCATATATTGTTAGAAGATCTGTTGTGGATTAGTCAGGTGTCTTTTTGTAAGCAACATACATGTGTGTCAATGGATATTGTGTGATTTCAGAAATTAGGAGACAAGTGGGTTAGTGGAGGGATGAGCCAAGCATGAAGTTGGGATCAACAAGAGCTCTGATGGAATGGGTGCTCTCTAGAATTGAATCCAAAATAGTTGCCAGTCAACTGTTTGGGCAGTCCGAGGAGTTACTTAGAGGATTAGTTAATCGAGGTAATGGCCCTTCAGGGATTTCAAATGCCTTCAGGGCACTCAAATCCAACCACTAAAAGCAACAAAGACAGAAGAATCGTTTGGGAGTGCGAGAGTGAACTGAAGGTCAGCCTCCAAAATGCGAGATTAAGCTAAGAATGAATGGGTCTGAGTAAGTTTAGAATGAGCGTGATTAAGAATATGGGTTTGCGAAGGTGGCGAAGGTGGCTGGAGAAGGTAGAAAAGGAGACAAGAGAAGGTGGTCGAGAAGGTGTGTATGTGGAGGGCCAAATAAAACCTAAGGTTAAGAGGTGAAATAAAAAATATAATATCTAGAATTTCTTTGTTTACAGACAGATAAAGGAGGTGAATTCAGTTCTAATTTTTTTGGTGATTTTTGCGTGAACCAAGGTACACAAAGATAATTGGCAGCAACTTATACTCTGAAGCAGAATGGAGTTGCTGAGAAAAAAAACAGAATCATCATGAACATGGTTCGGTCAATGCTAATAGGGACACGTGTTCCTAAAGTATTTTGGCCAAAAACAACAGGATGGTGTGTTCATGTTCTTAATAGGAGCCCCACAACAGTAGTGCAGGACAAAACCCTCGAGGAAGCTTGGAGTGGAATAAAGCTTTCTGTTAAGGTGCTTGGGTGTATAACTCATGTACATACATCAGATCAACAGCAAGTCAAATTGGATGACAAGAGTAAAAGGTGTGTTCTCATTGGAATGAGTGATGAATCCAAGGCTTATAGACTGTTGGACCTAACCACTCAAAAAAACATCAGAGATGTTATATTTGAAGAAGAAAAAGGCTGGGATTAGGAGCAGCATGACAAAAACCAGTCAACACCCTTTAAGTTGGGGTAAAATAACAGCACATGACAGTGACACCGAGGAGGAAACTGAACAAAATGGAGTACAACTTTCAGGGTAGCAGACAGAAGAAAATCTGAATGAATACTAAAGTTAACACTGATCAAAATGAGTCTCATCTTCCAATAGTTGATAATTCAGTTAAAGGGAGGATTAGAAGATGTAGAAGAGAACCAATTTGGATGATTGGTTATGGAAAGGGAGAAGGTCTATTTGATGAAGATGCAATGATGGTGATAGAAGATGATCCAGTGACATTTGAAGAAGCTGCCAAAACTTGGCGAGATGCAATGGAGAGAGAGATTGAGGCCATAAAAAAGAACAAAACATGAAATTTAACACTTAGGACTTATTGGATTTATAACTAAGACCCATAAAAGTAGTCTCACCAGAGTAAAAATAGTCTTTCTACATTAATCTCCTATCTGGGCATACTTTGTATCTCTTTTTGGTGACCCATCTTAGACTAATAATTAATGAACAACAATCGATCGAAGAGTTGAAAGAAACTTTCTACTATATCCTCTTCAAATCGATTCACATTGAAATTGTCTAACACATGTAAACTATAATCCAAAATTTTGCACTTCCCAACAAAATCCTGGGAGGACCATAGAAATCCTCAAATTCAAATAAAAGACAAGTACTGTTGATTTCTATGTGATCCCCACCATCATTGCCGTTGTCCTGCTTGTTCAATATCATAAAACATCAACTTCACCCTTTTTCTTCTCATTCCTTTTTTCTATGCATCAACACAATGAAGCATAATAAAGGTTATACTATTCTCATGGCCCTGTTGCTAACTTCCATTGGAATCAAGTATGAAGGCTCCATCAACAATCACTTCCAGCATTCAAGTGCGGCAAAGATGATTTTTGTCACAGCTATGTGTTGCCATGTCCTTGCATCCAGTGCTGATATGAGCATGCCAACTACTCTTTTCATATTCCACGTGTCTGGAATGTGGATGTGAAACACTGATGTGGATTCTGGTGGATGAGTTTCTATGGCGGTGTGGCACCAACGTGCTTCTCTTATCGGTGGCCTCATTATGCTTCATCAACTACAAACACCTTATTCACCTCATTCGAGGCAGAAACGGTCACGTGCCAAATTCGGAAGCACAAGAATGTCAGATGTAACACAAAACTTGGGAAGTTCAGTTTCTGCGGATAATGCTTTTGCTTTTATATGTTGTGCTATTGGTCTATATTTGAAGAATGATATACTCGAGTAGTTCTTTTACATTTTTCATACAAAGATTATAATCTTGCCGTAGAAAGTCTGTTAATAATACACAATGTTTAAAAGATAATATTCCAACACAGGAACATATTCCAACATTTGAAGCACAAGAACCTCGGATATAATAAGACTAAGATGTGCAGACATGGATATGCTGCATGTTCAAGTTGAGTTTATGCAAAAAGCTTCTTATAGGGAGTGCTAAAGAGACCAATTGTCACTAATTTGGGTTGACATTTTTAGCACAACCACCTGGCAGGCCGAAGGCGGAATGGATGGATGGAAGGAAGTTTCTTCCTTTACCTTCGTAAGCTTCTTCTTCACCAAATAAACCTCACATTCATATTAGATTATCTGAAAGTTTTTATTTCACAAAAATGATTTTTGGATTATACAACCTTTTCTAGAAAAATAATGGTTTTTGAATTAAAAAATTTAAAATTCATATTAACTTCTAAATTGTGTAATATGAAATGGACAAAATGATAAATTTCTTTTATGGAGGTGCAGGAAGAAACTTATATGGTGCATGGAGAAATTGTCTTAATAGAATTCTTAACCTATCTGAGCATAGTGGACCAACGACACACCGACTTTAAACACACTAGATTGGCTCGATTTGTTTTTTTTTTTTTTATCTTTGATTTTGATATGTTCTATACTTTCAGTCCTCCCTATTTTGGTTCTACGGCCGTTAACCTGTCAAAAATTGAACAGAATAGATTTACCAATATATAAAAGCCGACTAAAAATCTTAATTCACCCCGACGGCCGTCCGAATGCCAAAGGACAGCCATTCGACTAATGGTTTGATCCACCAATTTTTTTAATTTTGTATTTCTAAATATATATACATACATGTGTGTATATATATATATATATATATATATATATATATATATATATATATATTCAAACCACACTTACTTATATCAATATTTTCTAAAATATAATTAATTAATTTAATTACTATAATAAAATAAATTAAAATAATTATTACATGTTAAATTATTCTATTATAAATAATATTAAAATTTAATTTGTAAATGTTAATAATTTAAATTACAATATTATTTTAAGTAATATAATACAAAAGAAATAATTTTTTAAATGATTTTTTATTTTAATTTTTAATTAAAAAAATGGATTAGTAGGTCGAGTTTCTAACATGGTGAAAACTCTCATTCGTCGAACTCATTTTGCCATCTGTCATAGCTACTTCAGGATCGTTGAAAATAAAAATCATATAATGAAACTAAACATGTGGGAAGACAGGTTAAAAGAAAGTACGATTCTCATATACTTAAAAACTATATGGTTAGATACATCATAGGGAAAGTTATACTAGATCAAAACTTTGATGTGGAATGTTTAAGGATTATTCTCTAAATTGGAAACCAACACACAATCCGTAGTAATTTGCTATATAGCCTATTTGATTCATGATTCGCTCTCTCCTTGATCGGAAAGTTGAACAATTTTATTATACTTTTTTTCTGTGTGAGGATTGTGATGATCTTGATATGGGTACCCTATTGCCATAATTATGCTATCTCATGATGAAGTTCAATTTGAAGTGTTCTGATGTATAATTACTGGAGTTTTCATCTGAACAATAGATGGATTAGTTTGACATTTTGCATGTCAAATGCTTATGCATAGAAGCAATACAGTGTATCCTTTAATCTATTTTTCTATGACAATTTGAATATACCATTATGTCTTTTGTCCATATCTTTATTCTCAAATTTTAAAGCTCAATTACATTGTTATTGTGGTGTTATACTTAATTTCGATTATACGTTTAGATCTGTTTTTTTTATTTATAAGAGAATACTTATGCTCTACCTAATCAATATTATATTAATCTAATAATAATGCAATGGTAAGAGAATCATGATGGAAAATCTCGGGAGCTTTATCAGTGACTGATGGTTGTGGAGCTTGCATTCTAGCTAGTCATAAAGATAAAAAAGTGCAAAATGAAGGGGAAAAACCAAAGAGAAATAACACATAATACATCAACTTCACCCTTTTTCTTCTCATTCATTTTCTCTATGCTACAACACAATGAAGCATAATAAAGCTTATACTATTGTCATGGCCCTCTTCTTAACATGCATTGGAATAAGTATGAAGTTACAGTAACAATCCCTTCCAACATTCAAGTCCCATTAAGATTATTTTTGTTACAGCAAGCAATGTGTTGTCATGTCCTTGCATCGACTGCTGAAATGAGCATGCCAAACTCTTTTCTTTGTCATAGAAAAGATAATAAAAACCACAAACAAAGATTTTTTGAGACGTGTAGATCACTCTCTTTAAGAATTTATTTGTGGTGTATTGTGCAAATCTTCCAAGATACAACATGAACATCCCATAAATTTCTGAGGATCTCAGAACTAGCAAGGAACTCTAAAAAGAGTAGAAAATAAAACCAGGATATTTTTAGGAAAGAAAAGGAGAGAGGATGAAACTAAGAGGAAAGAAGAATGAGAGAAAATGTTATGTGTTTTGGAAGAGCAAAAGAATGCACTATTTATAGAGTAAAATAAAAGATGGGAAAAGGCCATGGTTCAAATATGGTAAAAGCTGCCTCTGGAGTTTGCACCTTACGTCGTGATCAAAATCGTTCACAAAATCTACATCTCGATCCTTGGGGAAAGAGAAATTTGATCGTGTAGAGAATAAACACTCATCATGCAATGTTCTTCCGTTGCTTTAAAAAAAACTAGTTTGCAATACAAGTTTATAATAATTCCCCACATATCGCAAAAGATGAGAAGGAAAGATTGAAAGAAAGAAGAAAAGAATTTTCCTGGGTTTCATAAGATGTAATGCATGAGAGAAGGTATAGCAAGCTATATGAATTAGTCCTAAATCGAGAAACTTAACACACAATGTGGTTAGTATAACAAGCTATATGAACCAAGGAAACTTGACGTGTGTTAAAGGTCTATCAATGACAATACACCCCCACAATCATTGATGTTATCACTGTATTGCACTCACTAGACCATGCGCGTGCCTGGTATTCATGAGTTCTCTAGAGATCTTGCAAAAATCTCATGCAAGCAGCCCCGCTTGACCCTCATATAGGAGTAGGAGTTCTTGTCCATCTCGACATCTTTTTTATTTAAAACACAAACACATTAGTGAAAATAATCATACAAACATCATAATCACACAACAAAGCTAGTTGAACTCACTGATCGAGGTCGTACCAGAGTCAAATTAATATGCAATTAACTACAGTATAGACTAGGAAGTGACTCCTGGGTCGTCTTTCAAGGACCAATGTGTGGTTCAGGAATTGGGTCAAACACATGGTGGAGGGTTTTTGAAGGTGGTTTCGTGACTTGAATTTAACCAAACTAAAACACGAATTTAAACGCAGATTAAAGACAGGTTAGTGCTAGCTCGGTTGCACTTGTTTCCAATCATAGATTTACAACAGATACTCAATCATATGACCCTTAATCCAACACAAAATAGATAACTAAGTGAAGTCTAAAGTGGTCTTCATAAAATGCGAATTAAGCAAACACACTCACACAAATTCATCAATTTTGCACACACATAGTAATGAACTAAGCGGAGATTATCATGCTTAAATTAGACCACTAAGCGAGGACCAATTGCACATAATAGATTGCATATATGCAGGGGCACATAAAACAAAATTACAATTACGCTCTAATAATTTCAAGAAAACCTTTGCAACCTCACTAATCACCAACCCACAAAATTAAGCTTCCATAAACATAATGAATTTAATTCAAAGCTGGAAAACAAAATGCACAAGTTGGAAAATGAAATGCACAAGCTGGAACGAAAACCCTAACCCCTAAAACGAAAACAGAAATCAAAATGGGAATGAGACAATGCTGGAAAATGCAAGTGAATGGAGGAAAAACGTAACCGACATAGAAAACCAATTGAAATTGGGAAACAAAATCAAAACTCTAAAATGAAACTGCAATGCGAGAATGAGAACGGAAGTAAATGCAGAATTGAAATGGCAAAGAGAAGGAAACAAAATTGCATTACTGGAATTGAAAGTGCATCAAATTGTAAATGAAAAACCTAAAACCCCAAATTGGGGGAGCTCCCCGTTGTTGTCCAAAGCTTAGAAAGCGTAAATGAGAGAGTGAGAGGTGTGTTTGGGGTCTGCCCCCTTTTTTACACAACCCTAGGTCAAAATAAAAAATGGGCCTAATCCTAAAAATGACCAAAAACGACCCAATCTACTAATTCTTTTAAAAAAGCCACTAAAAACGAATTTACACAATAATTAAATCT